GCTTATGCAGTGGGTACGACTCTAGAGGCGATTATCATCAAATCAGCAGACGAAGGCTGGAATTATACAATGGTAGGAAGAGGCCAACAAGCACAAGACAGCATGCCGTTTATTAGAAAGAAGATTGACATAAATAAGCTCGGTATTTATTGGTCGCTGCCACTGGTGCCAGTTCCAAATGCTGTGCTTGATGATGTTGAGACTTTTGCGGCAGTAATGAGGAGCAACTTTACCGTTGAAGAGGTTGGTCAAGACGCGACGCCGCCTTTGTCACCGCCAGTGTTGAGTAATGGTGATTCCAAAACGTTTCTATCTCACTTTAAACCAAGCGATTACATCATCCATCCGCTTACGGTATCCATGAAGCTGACGGTAAATGACGGAGATGCTAAACTACCTATCACGCATCAAGAATTGAGTAAGCGCGTTCTATCGAGACTGGGAACGCCCTGGATGGTGGATACAATTGATGCGATTGGGGATGAAGCTTGGAGCGAGTTTTTAGCAACAATGCCCAAGATGGCTCGAGAGCGCAAATATACTTTAGGCTTCGTGTTCTCCGAAGCATGGTCCGTGGCAAGAGACCTGATGGAGGAGGAAGATGAGACACCATCAGTAGCGCAGTTCAAGGAAGCCTTGTCAAGCTGTATGCAGTGGTCACTTAATGAAGTCGACCGTGTGGAGCGCTGCATTGTCAAATACCGTGAAGCAGTTGTTCATGTAATGGAGGAGAAAAGCACGTATATTGATGCTCAAGCCTGTATCGATCAGATAAGTTCGACGCTAAATCGCCAGCAGTACTTAAGTGCGATATCCTTTATATCATTCGTGACAATAAAGCGTCGACAGGCACGATACCTTGTGCTGCGTCCAAAAGGAGTTTGTGTCATAAGCAGTCCTAGGGCGTGGTGGCAATATGCAATCAAAGCTGTGCTACTTGATGTTCGTGAGCGTTTGGCTCATGTTGACTGGGAAGCGCTAGAAAAATCACAGCTCCAGAAGCATCGATACAAGGAATTATATCTTATGCTGAAACATGGCAGTACTTTTGCAGCTACCCTCCTTCCCCCAAAATCGCGCTTATTACCGAAAGAGTTGGCACAAAGTGAATTAGACGAGCTGGAATGTGTCTTGGACATAAAAGACTTGATTAAGCTCCGCCGTGCTGTACGCAAAGATATTACCGACAAGGAAAAAGAAAAAGAAATCTTGAGGAAAATACAAAGTCAACGCGATGATGTAGAAGGCGCGTCAGTTTGTCAAGATGTAGAAACTCCGGCAAGCTCGCGTATTTGGTCATACGCCACGTGGCTTACAGGTGCAGGAAGGGCAGCGCATGACAATACTTTCGGCCATGATTTCGGGTCACGCAAAGTCGATGATATATGTGTTGAGGACATAAAATGGAGTGATCAGGACACTAAGGATTTATATGAAGCTATTAATTATCACCCAGAGGAAGACAATCGCGAATGTATAATATCTGAGGTTGGGGATGCTGCTACAAAGAAGTGCTTGCTGCATGAGCAGCAGCACATATTATATCGATTTCAGCTTACTCTTGCGAAAGGAAGATTCGAATTAAGCCTCAAAAATTTACCTGCCAATATCAGCGGCGTTAGTTTATTAAAAAGCTCCAGTGAAGCAATCCCTGCCCCGATTACTTGTTCATCCCATCTGATTGCATCACTAGACGATGTCGATATTCAAATACTAGTGCGGCCGTCGTGTGTGGAGGTAGGTCTTCAGCTTCAAGATGCTCTATTTTGCCAAAAGTCAGGCTCTTCTTCACTTCATGACAACATATCGGACAAATGCCGGCTTGCCGACTCTTCAGGAACCGATTTTTTTCTCCAGCGAATGGAAATGGGTGAAGTACTGGAATACCATCCGGTTGGAGTTCGAAATCAAATGAGTAGCGTGCGACTTCGTCATTGCGAACGGAAATTACCATTGATGCATCTGAACGTTGAATCCGAGCGGAAACTAAAAGATGAGAAGCAGTCGACAAAGAAACGAGAAAGCGGATCTGATAATATTACGGCTGCTGCACACTTAATCCGGGTGTCATTTGTCACACAACCAATCAAGTGCAACGTCAATTTGATGTTTCTTCTCGATGTGGTAGCTGTATTTTCCCGCCCTACCAATGTAGATCTATCGAGTTTGGAGCATAGCGCATGGAAACGAGCGCAAACTCTGCAACGCTATAGTACTGCTCAGTTGCGTGGTGCATTGGCAAGAAGGACAATGGTAAACATGCGCTTAGACGTGATTTCGCCATTGATAAACGTGATACAATCGCCCCCGATAGAATCAGGAATACCCACTGGTAAAGAGGTGAGCTTGCTGGTATTTCTTGGTCATTTGAAGGCGCAAACGAAGCACCCAAGCGAATTATTTGATAATTCTGATGTCTCGAGTGATTCCGACAAAAAGGAAATAGCTGCACGTCGAATGTTTGCTACTTCTTCGATCAAGAGTCTATATGATGTCTTAGAGATCGGCTTAACAGGTATTGAAGTGCAAGTTATCGACGGAGGAAGCAGGGAGATCACGAGAAATATATTTCGGAAGCGAACACATTCAAGTACGAAAGCTGCTCGGCATTATCTTCTTGAAAAGACTTCGTTAACATTTAGCTTTCTCATGAGTGTCACGCCTGATGACCCGAGTATCCCCTTAGTGAAGTTTTTTGGTGGAGTCAACAGCGTCAATTTGAACTTGTCGGCTTCAAGTTTTCGCTCCTTAGTCCAGTTACTTCAGTCATTTGGAGATAATTTTTCAGCTCATGCACAACAGCGTCTTGACAAGGATGCTGCCATTCACGCTGATGTATCGAGCCGGTCTCAGACGTCAACTGTAGCTCAAACAGTACAAGGAAGCAAGCCGAGACTCGTTCGAACGGCATCTTCTAACAGTAAGCATGGTGTTGTTTACCTTTCGAGCAGTGGCTCAGGTGGAAGGTATGTTGACAATAGCCTCCACCATAACCTTGCCGAAAAATATCAATCTGAGCGACAGAAGACCTTTAAAGGAAAGAATATCGACGACCAGGATTTATTGAAGCTGTGGAAACGCATTATTTGCCAGCTCCAATTCGGAGTAAGTGAGATTAATTTAACACTTCGACTTCGAGATATGGCAGACTATTCAGGCAAGATCGTTCGCTTGCGTGTAGTAGACATAAGCACGCAACTTAATGTGAGGAGTTATGACAGAAGGCTAGAATTCAAGCTAGGGACTTTTTTTGTGGAAGATATTTTGCTATCAAGATGTTCATTGTCGTCGAAAGTTAAGGAGAATAAACGATTTCTTGTGAGATCCGGCAACCAGGACGTGCTTGCTCATTTGAAAGAAAGTTCGAAGCCGAGGGGTATTCCCCTGCCCTCATCAGAGCAGTTGATTCAGGTGACAATCACGAGTATCACCTCCGACGCGGTATTGCCAAAGGAATATAAGAATTGGAAGCAAGTTCGTCACCCAGCACTCTCTGTGTCTTCTGACGAGCACTCTGTATGGCAAGACCCACTTATTACCTCGCTTTCGGCAGATGCACGATTGCAGCTGTTGACCATCGACGTTTACCAGGATACGCTGGCAGAAGTATTTTTGTTTTTCTTCAAGCATAACAAAGACGAGACCGAAAGCACTGCGCAGCAACATTCACCTCCTTCCCCTCCACCGTCGTTGAGAAGTACTAGTGAAGGAAGTGCAGCGAGCAAGAATGGATTGACGCGCGGTACGGAAGAGCAATCTGTCTTGTCTTCGGTTGACATGAAAGCAGCTGAAGACATTAACTCAAGTAGGTTTGGCGAATGGATAGCGTCCTCGCTCCTAGACAACCTTCCCGGCGTAAGCCCTGAGTCAGAAAAGTATGTTCATGACCCAGCAGCAGTTGTCGCCACTGAAAATGTCGACAAAGAGCTACCTGCATCAATGCAGCTACGACTTCATGTGGAAGGCTTGTCACTTTTTCTTCACCTGAGTGACAAAGAGAGACCCAAAGGAATGCCGTCAGCATTTGCAGCTTTGACAGCACAGCAATTCTGTTGCTGTGTGCAGCGATTCCCGCGCTACCTTAGCATGTTTGCTTACTTGACGTCACTAAAGATCTGCGATTTGTCTTTGTCGGACCAGTATTTTAGCGAGATTGTATCACATGGAAAAGCGTCTTCTGAACCAAAGGAAAGCAGAATGCGAGTTAATCGGAATGACAGACACCAATATGATGGCGACATCGCAGTGGGCCACGCTCCAACGTTGAGCGAGATCTTAACGATGCTTGATGATGTTCCTGCGGTATTCTCATGCGCTGCACAATTATACGGTGCAGATGCAATCCAGGAACCATGGCATCCAGGTTATAGTAGCCGATACTCAGTGCGCCTAAAATCACCTCGAATCCGGTTTCTTTACAGCTTCGTCAACGATATGCGCAATTACTTACTGAATGGTGAATTACTGGAGACAATATTGCTAACCTTGTCTCGTAAACAAGATGATATGCTCTGGGAGGGTGACTTTCAGCTGGGAGAGAGTCAAAAAAGTTCTACACATGTTCACGGGAACAATGAAAAAGAGAAAGATGAAGCAGACAAAAATTTGTCAGGCAAAACCTTGGGATCTGACGTCGTGTCGATGTTTCCACTCGTTGATATACGTTTAGAAGATACAGTGATGGAGATGCCACCCCATCGAATGTCGTCTGAGTCGCTAGTGTTACGCTTAGAAAACTTTCGGATATCCAATGAAAATGTCATCGATACTTTTCTGGGAATGGAAAATCGTGTAGTGGCCAAAGTGTTGCTGAATTCCTCTTTAAAGCAAGTGCAATTAAACATGAAGGCTCTTCGAGTCGTCTCTGTAATTTTTGTGGATCGAAACGACGTGTCCACGCAACCGAACAAGGAAGGCTTTGTCACGCAAAGCTTACTGGGGCTGACCAATTACTCCTTGTCGGTAGATTTTCGCTCGAATTTCGATTTGAAGCTGAATCTCACCTTCCTTCCTGTACGTTTGGTCTGCAACCAAGAGCAGTATGCTTTTGTGCTACGGGTGCCTTTACAGAATTATCGTGAGCGCAGTCGATATCATTTCTCGCAACCAACGAAAAAAGTTGCTCGACTATCGTCTCGTCAATTCTCTTTGGCTCAACGATTTGATCGAGCTTCCACTTTAAGAAAAGTCCCCGAAGGTAGTGATGCATCAAGCAAAGGGACAAGCGTTTCTGAAGCACCAGATATATCCAAAATGCGGCAAATACTACTTGATCTATACGTTCCAGAAATCACAGTCGAGCTATTGGAGGGTCAACATGGATACCACCCGTCGAACAGTGGGGATCTCGATATGGTCAAATTGAGCAAAACGAATGGCGGCTCAATTTGCATCCTGGCCCTTTCAATGTTATCAGGGCCTGCAAGTTACAGCTTATCCAATAATCGATTTACAGCAAACGTTGACATAGAGGGCGTTCATATCCGGGACTCACGTGTCAACTCGAAGATGTCTGTCGCATACCGCGATGTTGTAGTGTTTGAGCGGTACAAAGAAGGACTGCCAAAGGCGATTAAATTTCGATTTGAGTCCGATAGTTACGATGTGGACGTGTCAACAATCGGCTTTGAAACAGCCTTTACTCGTCGAGAAAGTGGATTTCGAACCCCTAGGGCACAATTTAGAAGCGTATCGTCCAGAGCCAGATTTGGCCTGTTTGGATCCGAATTGTCACTCTGGCGAGCAGATTCAGGTGTTTCCGCGTACTCACCATCATCGTCAACCATGACAAGTTATCGGGCAAATTCAATTGTATCTGGTGAAGAAGAAATGTCAACTTCTGTGTCAGGAACGGAAGGAAGGATGGAGTTTGCAATTGATGTGGCAGGTTTCAAGGTGATACCGTCGAATATTTTCTATGATATAATCCAGTTCTTGACGACACCATCGGAAATACGTCCAGAAGCTAAAGTCTTGGAACGTAGTCGGGAAACTCCTGATGAAGTTGCTGCTACCGACAGCCCAACGCCAATGTTACCACACTATCGCCGAATCCGTATTGACCTGAATTTGGGTCCATCTGCATTGTTACTGGTGGAAAATCCTCACAAAAACAAGTCGCGGGCGCTCATGTTATCATGGGAGTCAGCAATCATTTTGAATTATTTAAGACAAACAAACGAAGACAAATGCCTCCATATCGAGGACAACGAAGCGCCGGCACATAGCCGAAATCAGCTGAGTTTTTGTATTTGTCTTGACAATGTCCATGCAACCTCACGATTATCGGAAGAGAGTGTCTGGGCGTCAGAGCAATCAGCGACAGCTGCATCTGCCGATTGTTTAAAGCCCATTAATATGGAGACTGTCATTCAAATGGATCTGCACGCCCATTTTCTTCGCTTTCGGACAACGTTTGATCGCGTTATGGAACTTCGTTTCGGATATTTGGATTTTTGTACTATGCTTGCTGCTGTCGAACATATTCTTTGTCAACCATTTATTGCCATGCAACCATCTTCATCAGATCGAAAAAAACGATCGGCTTCTGGCTCATCCACTTCTTCTTTTTCGGGTGGGGGAGCTGAAGGCGAGGCATCAACTGATAAAAAGCGATCTCAGTTCACGCTTTCAAGTCTAGTGCACAATAACACTGAGCGGCAACGTACAGCTGCTCTTTATGGATCGTCCTTGATTTATTTGGTCTCTGCTAGCTTTCGAGGACGTCTTGAGACGCGGCCTGTGGTTGGGTTTTATTCATCGACTTGGCGCAAACGATACCTCGTGTTGCCGTATACAGCTCAGCAGCGACAGTTGGTTCAAAGTGTAGCTTTTCGAATTTTGCCCGCGCCTGGGAGTCGACGGCAAATTGGCGACGAGATCTATTATGGTGATCGAATTATTCTGGACGCTGTGATAGACATCAGCGACAATGACATGACCACAAAAGAAACACTTAAAGAAGCTGCAGTGGGCTCTCCAACCGCCTGTGCTACAACGCAATCGACTTTAATACAGAAGTACGATCAATTAGGCGCTATCGGCTATTTAGGTCCTGAAGGCTCAGCTGGGGCCTTTGAAACGACAATTTGGAAGCATGGAAGCACCATGTTCAATTCAGACAAGAGCGTTGTCTATGACCGGGAGTTGATTGTGTTCGAGGAGCTGACGATATATCGCTCATTTAGTAAAGGAACAAAATTTGGCGCGACAGATGCAACCGACCAGCAAATGGACTTTAACTCTGCGAGGTCAGGACCCCGCACTGAGGGTGCACATACGGTAGACACAACAGGAGCACGAGGAGGCGGATATCTCATGTTTAACGGTGTAGGTGATGCGCCGATACCATTCGCCTTGTCGATTGTGTCAAGTAAAGGTAGATCTCGGTACGTGCAGCGCGATGAAAAGAGAAGCGGTGTTATTGAGGACACCGATACTGCTGGGACTGGTGGTAATGTCGATGAGAAACACAACAAAACGCAAAATAAAAGGAAGAGTAAGCGCAAAAAGCTTTACGCGTATTCTACTTTTTTTGAAAACCTCAAGATAGTAGAGCTTACGCTGCCAGGTGTGAACGCGACAGTCATTAATGACTTTCACAATATGCTTCTGCCACTGCTTCACTTTCGCATGGCAAGATTACACGCAGACATTCGAGGAAGATTGGATAATAAATTCACAGCATTGACTTGTCTACGTTTCGGAATTCAAGCCTATAACTCACAACTGGCTGTATGGGAGCCTGTACTTGAAGACTTTGAGGTAAATATGGCTTATCATGGAATGGGTGGTGTGCTGTGCGACTACTGCATGTCCGAAAGGCAATCAGTTTCTCCTACGGGTGCTGCCTTGCGGTGCGACGGGATGCCTCTGTGCCTTTTTCGCTCGTCTCAGACTGAAGTATTTACCAATGCGGCTGCACATTCATGGGAATCCAAAAATTTTATATATCGGGAGCTGTTGGAGCAGCCTGATGTCCAGGATGGAGCTAAACAGGCAAACACATTTATGATTGTGGTTAAAGATGACTTTAATATCAACATTTCGCGCAACGTCATCAATGTGCTAGTTCATTTCTTTGCATTAGTGACGAAAGCTACACCAGCAGACGAAGCCTTGTCATCGCGCCTTGGTCCATTCATCTATGTGGACAATCAATCCGGTATTCCATTCGTCGTTGCGACACATCCGTCGTCTTCAAGTGATGCAGCACACACAACTTGTACAACGTTCAAGTCGTCCAGACGACCTTCGGGCTCCATCGAGATTCCTACAGAGGTGCCAAATGCTGACACTAATAGCAACAGCCTGAAGAATGGAAGTGCCATGTTCAATAGCAATGCCTGGAGCCGCCGTCGCCTTTCAACGATGCTCAATAACCTTTCTTCTTCCGATACCAAGTGGATCCGTGTTGAAAGTGGCGAGCGCGTAGCAACAGATGTCGTTGCACACGAAGCACCAGCGGGGTGCGTGACGTCCCCGCTCCGCCGGTTGTTGTGGCTTAAACCACAGTCCGACTCACAGAAGATGACATCATCTAAAGCGATTCCAGTACCGATTGGGTATTCAAATCGGAGCTATCTTCATCTTGAAAGCAGCGAAAAGCAGCGTGACTCATGGCACGGGGAGAGTATTATATGCGAGACCGTTGCGGAACAAGGCACTCTTGTCTTGCGGCTTCGCGGAAAGATTCAGCTGACAAATTACTTCAATATTCCTATTCAAGTGATCTACAATGACCAGCGTGTGGAGACGATAGAGCCCGACGGCAAGGGAGCGCACTATATTCCTATTCAGTATCTTGAATTAGGGACTATCGCTTTTCAGCCTTTGCTATTGAACGGAAAGGTTCAACGTTCGGACCCGCTTTCGATTGCGTATCTCTTGCGATCAAATGATAGCAAAGCTCAAGGTCGCTCTAATCGCCGACAAAACCTTGGCTCACTTGAATTACGCAAGGCTCTGACTTTCTACTGGGATGTCCATCCAAACGCAGAGAGTGTGATTGATTCTGATTTAAGATTCGGAGTTTCGTTGCCACCATATCAAATAATTCTGACTGCGACGCGAAAGTCCGAACGTCACGAAACGATTATTAGCTTGCGACCGGCAATTATTTTGGAGAATCTTGTGCCCTATGAGTTATCGTATCGTACAGTTTGCATGAAATCGGAAGCTGAAGTTGAGTGGGTGTCAAAAAATGCAGCATGCTTTTCTGGCGTGAGTGGAAAAGTGTCGTCAGGGCGCTCAGCGTATGTACCGGAGCTGGATATTAAGGAACGCGAATTGGATGGCGGCAAAGTGAGGCAAATTCCGGCAGTCGTGGGGCTTAGTCTCGCATTGCCGCAAATCCAGCTCTGTCGATTCTCTCGCTGGTCGAAAGACTCGTTTATATATGGCTGTGAGTCGTTCTGTGAGCGGATCGAGCTCAATATGCGCGATAACCGCGCGCATGAGGAATCTGCTCCTGTAAACAAGCTTACCATTTGTGTTGAGGTGACACAATTAGAAAAGCTACGTTCTCGTGCACTTAATGCGCTCTGTCCAGTTTTTTGTAGAGTCTTTACTGAGTACTGGTTGATCGATCGAACGTCTCTATCACTCGCATTTTATACTGCCGACGACTACCTTATTCCCTCAAACCACCCAGGCCGTCTTGCTGACGAGCAGGAATGCGTGCAATCGTCTTCAGTTTCGCTGTCAGTGTTTTCTTGTGAGAGCAAACAAGTTGTTTCAAAAATGAAAATTGGTATCAAAGGAAGTAAAGGAGAACGAGAAGTGCAGTCTGAGCCGTTTGATATAAGTGCTGTGGGAGTACGTGGACAGATCGTTGTGCCAACAACGCGGTCGCGCGATGCTCGGTCTCTCCTTCATACGTTTGCAGATTTTGGAGCACCGTCGGATGGGCTTGAGGCGACCTTTAAACAGTACGAATTTGGTGTAATGATTGAGCAAGGACCCGAAAAATTTTCGCGGTCGCGTGTTGTCACGTTGGTTCCTCGCTACTATCTCATCAACACGTCAAATAATTTTCAAATTTGCATACGACAAGAGTGCTCGACCGATCCGAGCGCCGTGATCATGCTTCGCCCACAAGAGAAAACAATTTTCCATTGGAGCGATTCTCGCTTACCCTCGCGAATTCAAATTTGCTTTGTTCTTCCGGACAAGCGCCATGGTGAACGTGATACTGTCTCCTTCGCAAATTCATCGCAGTGGAGTGCACCTTTCGAGCTCTCGTCCGTCGGAAATTTTGTTTTACGAGTCAAATCAAAGATTCGGCCGGCTCCACCATGTCTTCCTGAATGCTTTGAGGGAAGTGGGGCAAAGCGAGCACATATTGAAGATGACGAAGGAGTTAATCTTTTATATGATGCAGACGAATACAGTGAAGCAGAAAGTATGCTCGCTGAGGGGATCCAACTAAACGTTGCAGTAGAACTCCACGACCCATCATTTCTGGTGTATTTGGAGGAGGGCAGACAGATTTCCGAGCCCTTTTCTCGGTTTGTGTACGAAGAAAGCGATAAAGAACATACGTTAAGAGTCAAGCACACGGAGGATGAGGTATTTGTACCATTTAAAATTAAAAATGAGTGCAGCAATTTGGCGCTGTTGGTGTGGCAAAAAACGCTTGTGAAAGACAAAAAAGGGAACGCGACGATAAGTTTTGAAGGTGGAGACATTGTGCTTCCTTTTCATACGATCAACTACGTGCCATTTCGATTCTCTGCATTTCCTACTGTTTTTGTTCAGGTTCAAAAAATGGCAGGGTTGAGCATTAAAGTCTGGCGAAAAGAGCACGCGACACAAAAACAAAATCACACACATTCATCAATTACCGCTGTTGATCGGCGCGACAAGGATGGACCAATCAGCGCACTTTCACGAGCAGTAAGTCTGGATCAAGTTCAGGCTGTCGCAAGCTTCGAAGTACAATTGAAAAAGCTTCAGCGTCTTCCGACGATCGATGTGTCTGAAGGCGTGGTTAAGAAGCGACTATGGGCTGAAGTTTTGCTGGACGAAACGACGAAAACTCTGCTTGTTACGGATATGCTACCTGGTTATTCTGGTGAACACAAACGACGGCGGCGGGCTACTCTACTTCGCAGCTGGAAGCGCTATAATACGTGTATCATGAATATTTCACATGTTCTCGCCGCACATCACGACCCGTTATCTATTAGATCAGATAACGATTGTGGACAAAATGCACCACTTTCAACAAAAAGGGTGCATTTTGCGGCAGACTTTACAAGAGTGACCGAAAAAGACAACGCAAACGAATCTGGGGCTTTAGATACGACGCAAGAAGGCACGGAGGCTGTTGGAATTTCGCCGTTAATCAACGTGGAGAGAGAAGTTGATGCACTTGCTCTCTGTGTTCGACTTGTGGACGCAACATATCTAGAAGAGGTATTTCTTCAAGCCGGACGCAGCGATTTAACGTCATGCCAGCCGTTTCTTACATTCTCACTAAAAACAGAAGGGGAAGAAGCCCGAACGAAGCTAATTCCTCAGTCTACAACGTTATTTCCTCGGTGGTTACCTGCCTGTAACTCGCGGACAACGTTGAGCGCTTTAATTCTGGCTGATGAAGCTAAGGGGCTTGATGAGAATATGAGTCGTGAGCTTGGTTCTGGTGTACAACTAACTGTGGAGATACGAGAGGCAGACAAGATTCTTTTTGGCTCGTCTATCATTGCAACTGCACGTATTCCATTGCAAGAGTATTGTGCTGCAGCGATGATCGCCACCAAAAGAGATGCGAATTACGATCAACCAGTAGTTGAGTTTTTTGCTCCAGTTCGTGTGACTCGAACGAGGGGTAGAGGAGACCGGTCCTCTGAAGTGACAAACAATAGTCGTATTCGTTTTCTTATGTGCTGTCGCCGGACGCTCACTACTAGATCAGCTGCTGCAGAGTGTAGTGGAGAAGGTAGCGACACCTCTGCCGATGTTAGGGCACTGAAGGAAATGCTTTCGGCGTATCAGTTAAAGAAAGAATTGGACATGCTTGTGAGCTCCAAATCGCAGCTTAAACTTTTGCTGGAGCGAGAAGCTGTAGATACTTCGACTAGTGGTACGAACCTTCCAGCTGCGTTGCAGTCAATACCAGATAGTCTCTCACCAAAAGAGAAACGCGATTTGGGTCTTCCACAATACGTCGACCAAACCGACGAAGATGGCCGAGATGCTCGTAACCAAAACACGAACTCTGTTCGAGGTTCAACTAAGTCAGCGACAAGTGAGGAATCCATCGGCTATGACATGTATGAAGAGATGAGGGATGAAAAGCAACTAACAGCAGTATTGATCGGTGTATCAAATCTTCAAATTCCCATGGAAATCATTCGGCGCAATTATGAGCGCACGCACGGGACAATGAACTGTCTTGAACCCAAGCTCTATTGTACAATAACATACCAAGAATCAACGCGTTCAGCTCTGTCAGCGACTGCTAAGCCTTCAACTACCTCCGAAACAACAAATCATAATACTCTTGATGTTGATGGGTTGTCGTCTTCCTTTAGCGGGATAACAGTGAGCGACTCGATAGGAAGTCATGCTCACTTGCAAAAGGTTCGCACTTTTGAGTTCTCAAGAGGCCAAACATTAGGTTTAGATTTGGTGTACCAAAATGGACGTGTGCTTGTTCAAGGTGTCGTGTGCGATGGACCATGTGGTGTTTTGGTTTATGAAGGCAAGCTTCGTATCGGTGACACGGTTGTAGCAGCAAACAACAAATCTATTGTAAACCTTCACCGCGACGCATCTTTTGCTGTGATCGAGAAAGCGATGCATTGGGGAGAGGGTGTCGGAACGTTGTCTTCAGATCAAATATCCAGTGGCAAATTTAGTCTTTCTTTTCTGTTCCAACCCACAACACCGGAGCTTATGACATTTAGAGAGACATCGGTACCACCTTGTGCGCAACCAGTGGACGACGGTGGTGGCACTCGAATGTTTGATGTTGAATGGAATCGTCGCGTGGAATTTGTCGAAACGGCAAACACAAAACCTTCAGCTCATGATCAGGTGCTTGTGCGTGTGTACTTACGTAACGAGACGTCAGACCACGGCTTATCAGCGTCACAAGAATCAAGCATTGTGCCGTTTTTGTACTTTTTTGGAGATGACGCTATGATGGATCATTTGGATCACAGTAAACAAGACTCGCGCTTTGACGTGTTACTAGCAGAGTGTTGGGTACCGCTGCCTCCATCCACTATCTCTAGCACCGTGAATGTGATGTCGATGGATGGGAACTCGATGGCTGAACCACCTGCTCTTACATTTAATGAGCGCATCTGCGCACTATACTCGCCACAACAACGCACACTCCAGCGGTCGGCACTGAATATGATTGGACAGCTACGGCTAGCGTTGAAATGGGATTATGTTAATCCACTTCGTACTGTCTGTCAAATAAGGGATTTAAGTCTTCATTTTCAGCTTGAAGTGGCGCGTATTTGCATATCGTGTGTGGATGATGGTGCTTGGAGTTCTGTGACAACTGTTACAGGACCTCAACGACCACAGGAGGTCCTGTGTATCTCATTGTCCGATCAAAATGCTTCTGCAGGCGTTCAGTTAAGTTACGATCAGATTTCTGATGGAAAACAAGTTCTCAATGCACGCATCGGACACTTTCAGATCGACAATCAACTTTTGGACACAAACTATCCGGTGTTGTTGCGTCCTATGCGTCTGGCAGATGCACAAATGCAAGAAGAAGGTTGTAGTATGGCACGTGAGAAAACCGAAAAAATTGACAGCGGCAATGTGAATAACCAGATGCTCCTACCGACTGTGCAATTCATGGCAGTCTTTAGTCGGCAGCCTAATGTAATCCAATTTGATTATATTTTTGGTCAGCTTCAAGAGTTGGAGATCAAGCTTGAAGATGCAGCACTTGTGGCATTAGCTCATGTGTTTTCGGGAGTGGAGTGGTCTTATACGGCGTCTAAGTCTCGTGCTAGCAAGAAACAGAAGCAAGTTGGAGATGAATTTGGCTCCAATTTAGCCCTTAAACTATTGGAGATCGAATGGTCGAATCCTACAATGCTGACAGATGGGCACCTGGGTAGTGCAAGAAGTGGAGGCGGAGTAAACTCGAAGGTGCTTCTGCGTTGGCTCTTGCTTTGCCCGGTAAAGGTTAATATAACATTTACCAGCACCGCAGACCGTTCGTCATTACTGTCACTGGTAAGTGATCTGAATGTTGTGTATCTATCTTTGAATGAAACTCGTGCATTCTAACAATCAACCACTTGTGCTGTTTCGCTTGTGAAAAGTTGTCACCAGATATGTCGTCCGTTTTGAGCACTCTCATTAGTGCCGCAGCAGCACTGGTCTCAAATCTAGATCAAGCCCCGATACGAGTTCCCGAGTTTTACGTGGAAAACTTGCTGGAGACTACACACACACTGGCATTCTATGCCATGCAGCACTATTTGCACCATGGCTTGCGCAGCTGGTACAGCATCATGGGCTCAGTTGATTTTTTAGGCAATCCTATTGGTTTGGTGAGCACTCTAGGCACTGGCGTGAAAGATTTCTTCTATACACCAGCTCAAATGTTGCTGGAAAATGAGAATGGTCTGCGGATTGATAATTTACGAACCGGCATGACAAAAGGCTCAAAGAGTTTGTTGCGAAACACTGCTGTCGGTATCTTTCACACGACAGGTAAAATCACGGAAACGCTGGGGAAGGGTATCGCTCTGTTGGCGATGGATGAACAGTATAATGTTCAGCGACAGCGTGCGTCAACTCGACAAGCTAAACGAATTAATGATCTTGGCGATGCAATTGCAGAAGGCAGTAAAGGTCTTGTGGGGGGCGTTTGGGATGGAATTAAGGGTGTCGTGGCTGCACCAGTTCGTGGTGCTGAGCAGGATGGCGCGGGTGGATTTGTCGTGGGCATCGGAAAAGGTGTTGCGGGATTAATTGTCAAGCCCACAGCAGGTTTCTTGGACTTGCTTACGAGTCTTTCGCGAGGAGCAAAAACTAGTGCAGAGTCTTTAGACGGAACAGACCGCAACACGTTTGATACTGTCACACGTTTTCGTTTGCCGCGGCGTATCTGGTACGTACAGTAAATGTATTTGAACTCATCATGTGAAGTGAATACTAACTTGCATATGTTGTAGCTCGGATGGTGTGTTAGTATCTTTTTCGGAACGAGAAGCCCGAGGCTACGCAGTTTTGCTGCTGACGTCACTAGATGCCACTGATGAGTATGATACTTGAAATCACTGACCTTTTTGATAGTCAGTATCCTGATATTTGTGATTTATGTGTGGCACAGTTACGTGTATCATTTAGACTACGGTATTGAACCACATCGCGGTCTCTTATTGCTCACAGACAAACGCCTCATCTGTTTAAGCGGCAAAAATGGTCAAAAGCTTTGGGAAGTTGCTCTCGACTCTACTTTAGAGATTGTTGTCGAAAATTCGACGCTCAAAATTGGTCAAACCACATCACCGTCTCGGACTTACAATATCGAATGCGACAGTGAGGTTGCGGCAACCAATTTCCGAATAGCTGTGGAATCGGCTCGTGTGGATGTTTCAGCCACACGATATCTGTTATTGAATCTTGAAAAGAGCCAAGAGGAGTCTCGGATTTCGGGTAATGGACGTTTTAAAAGTGGAATTTCTGGTATCTTAAAAGGCGTAGAAGATCGCACAGATATTCATGTGCTGATGGAAAGCGTTCAGGATACCACCGTGTCTGGACTTTCAAATGATGATTTGCAATCTCAACCCCTTCGCTCCGTGCGTGTTGAACTTTGTCATTTGCAGAACAAAGATGCTCATGCCAATGTCCCGGACCGAACTATTGACAAATTGCTTTCGTTCAGCGTCTTCCAGATTCAAGTATACGGAGGGCCTTACCAATGGACAGTGTTTCGACGATTTAGTGAATTCCGCGCATTGTGTGCAAAATTGGGGGCCGCAGGGTACATATTGGATGGACTCCCGCCTCTTCCACCGCGAACTTTTCTTCCAAGCACGCGCGAGCCAGTAGCTAAGTATCGGCAAGAAGCTCTCAATATGTTCTTACAGGCGGCAATCATGCATTCCGCTATCAGTCGTAGTGCAGTCATGCTCGAGTTTCTTACCCGAGATGCCCGTGAGGTACGAGTGAGTCTTCCACCGCTGTCTCCTACTAATGAAAGGTCATCCCCACGCGCTGGAGATTCGCCTTGAGGATGGTGTCCAGAAGTTTGATTATTGAATAATTCAGCAAGACTAGTTTTGATTAAAGTATCAATGAAACTGTGAAAAGTGGATTTCAAACAAACCTATTCCTCCAATTTCATGTGGCTACACGTACACTTCGCGATAACATTTGCCTCGGAAGACGCCGTGATATTTGCATAAATGTGAATCGATTATGTTTCTGAATGTTGTTCCGTTTTTAAGAATCAGAGCCTTGCAGCTCCGCCTGCAGTTGGAGTATTCGCTCGTAGTCTGTGCATAGATGGTCGAGTAACATGCGGTCTGAAAGCATTACTTGACTAAAATTGTCAGCGGGAACCTCCACAATTTCAACAACTTCGCGTGCTTTGTATAGTTCATCAATATTGTCGCCAGATTTTGGCAAACATCCTTGAGCGACATGATTAAGATAAAGAATGCGACCAGGCGGAAATAGTGGATCATGACGCAGCATGTTATCATCCTCATATTGCTTTTGGACCTCGGTAAGCCGGTCCAATTTCTGGCCAGCCTCTTCCCTTACAGTTCTTCGGGTTTGTTCTATAACATTGGCATCTTTAGAGTTTTCACCAAGCCTATTCTTCTCGTCCGATATCAATTTTTCAGATGAATTTGCCTGAATAGTTTGTTCACCTTTCAATTTGGCGGTAAATGGCAGGTTTTGTGAAATTGTATTTGCGATGACGTCCAGTTCTTCCTGCAATGTGGTACTAAATGCTTGCGTTTCTTCCTTTATCGCTTCAACACAATCTTTCACATTTGAAACGACAGCTGTGGATACCTTTGACCTGTGAAATATTCAAGACTAGATCAGCCTCTTATCACCTATAATAACACACTGAAATCCGCACACTTGCTCAGTAATCTGAGACTTGAGTGATTCTCGTGTTTTGTCGATGATGTTATCAATACGGGAGCGAAAGAGCTGCAGCTGGGTCCATTCTACAATCCCCTTTGAGATAGATTAAGTAAATCAAACAAAAATGGATAGCACTTACCAGAATGTTCGCCATTATTCAGTAAAGATTTTGTGCTTTGCGATGACCTATAAAGCACGTCTCGCAATTCCACCAAAACGCGCTCTAGTTCATCTGGCTTGGTGACAGCGGCTGATAGTCGCTCTAGGGCAAGAATACTACCATCAATGCGTTTCCACCAGAAAAAATCACCTGGATTACTAACTGCAAGACCGTGTAAGTAAATATTTTGGATCTGAGCAAATATGCACATCCTGATACCTTTCTTTAAGTCTTCAAATCGCAAAAGGTTCTTAATGAATGAAATGTGCTCCAATGAAAGTTTGTCCGTCTTGAAAAAAGATAAAGATATGTCCAGCTTCTCACTTAGAAGTCTATCAATCTCGTTTGCAAATTCCTTTATGTTATTGGACGCAAGCTGCTTGAAGACCAGATAAAATGCCAGTAACATCTTGTTATATCAGCTTGTACCATACAAACAATTGATAGAAGTAAAACCTTTTTCGCCTCATCAAGCTTTGCAGTAGCAACACTTGTGCGTTGTTTTAGCTGTAGTGGGTCTATATTTCGTAACTTTGCCTGCAACTCGTCAAGTTTCGCACGCTGTTGTCGCTCTACAGCAAGCTTTTGCTTGCGAATTTCCTTCGAAAACATATTGCGAAGTTCATCTCGCCAATTAAAACGCTGGACTTCCCTTTGCAGATGTACAAGTGAATGCTGATGTAACCGCGGTACACAGTCGTATCCATTTATTATTGTAGTAATCAGATCATAGCTGCCAGTAGCCAGCTCCTGCGTCACACACGCTGGGGTGCCAAAAGCATAGCAATGAATACCTGCAATGTGTTCTTTCAGCTGCATGGCACTTAGTGCTGCAACTGCTGCCCCTAAGCTGTGACCTGTTGTGACGACATTGTATTCGGCATATTTTTCGGATAGCATTTGAAGGTCGTCGCGTAAATGGCGCACCAGCCACGTCGCTGCATGCATCATACCGCGATGAGCTTGGCCGTCTTGAAAAGGCTCATTTTGCAAGCATAGATCAGTGCAGAAGTCTAAGAGTGACGCTGTTCCTCGCACCACTAGCACAAGTTCGCGGTGCTTATGATCAGCGAAGATGATACACTTAGGAGACAAGACACCGCCTGGGTGTGCCCTCAGCACTTGGTCTTGCGAAACGCCAGCTTCTTTACAAAATGAAGTAACTGAAGATGCGTATACTGCATCACACACACGCACATACCGTAGTAGTTTGACAAGCAGTTCCTGGAGGGATCGTAACGTGGTGTTACTCCATTCGCACTCTAAATGAACAGAAAAAAATGGTAATATAGTACCTTGTCATTCACAATAGAGTTCTCATTCGTGTGACGTAAAGGGCCTCTATCAGCACGCTGTTTCGTTTTGTAATGCGCTAAGACAGATAGCCCCACTAACCAATCCGATGCGCTCCAATTTTTTAAAGCAGGGGTCTGACGCAGCAATCCAAGACTTTCTGACAGCACCTTGAGCGCCGGAAGCATTTCAACAGAAAGTTCTTTTGCTGTAGCACGTAATCTCTTGCCGAGAAGCTCATCAAAGTCTAAGAGCTTTGAAGAACTAGACGTTGTTCGATGGTAATTCAACAGCCCAGTGCGCACTTGACGTCGCAACATTTCCTTTGACTCAAATGCATATATTATATTATAACCAATCACTAAGTTAAATTATGGTAATTGGTAAAAAACAAGCCAGGAAGAAAAACAGGAGGTAAAAAGCACGACTTCACCGGCTCGACTTCCGCTCTTGTTGCGCCTCCGTTTTGTGCTAAGCCAAACGAGTCGCAGTAATGGGTGAACGCTCAACTAAGAAGTTTAAAATTGTTTTACTGGGCGAAGGTAACCATTTTTTTCGTATTTCTTTCTCCCCCTTTTTAACGCACTTTGCCGCAGGCCGCGTGGGCAAAACGTCTATCTTATTGCGTTATATTAAAGGTGAATACAACGACCAGCAGGTATCGACATTACAGGCTTCGTATCTCGATAAGCGATTGCTTGTTGACAATCGTCGCGTGGCGCTTTCGCTCTGGGATACGGCAGGTCAGGAACGTTTTCATGCCCTTGGCCCCATCTACTACCGAGACGCCGATGGTGCACTGCTAGTGTATGATATAACAGATGCTGAATCGTTTCGCAAGGTCCGTACGTGGGTGCGAGAATTGCGGCGCATTGTTGGTGACGATATTTCAATTTGTATTGCCGGCAATAAGAGCGATTTGCATCGGAACCGCAAGGTACCGGAAGACGAAGCCAAGCGTTACGCTGAATCAGTGGGCGCTGCACATTTTGACACGTCTGCAAAGTTAAATCGTGGTCTAGAGGATGCATTTGTTGAGCTCACTCGTCGTATGTTGGGTCGCACGGGTGGTAAGAAGAAAAAAGGCAGTGCATTAATTGCCGATGATGAGGACGACGAGCCGTTGGCCAAGCCCCCAACTAGTAAGCCTCCGACTAGCAAGACACGATCACAATCACAGACACAGCAAGCGCAGACACATGCGGAACTGAACAGAACAGAAGAAGTACCGAGAAGTCGCGGCGGTGGACGAGGACAACCCATTCAGATTGTGGAGGATGACGATGGATTCACTCCTGGCGCATCGAAAAATACTGGGTTGAGAGTGAGAGGAGCTACACATGTGGACACGGGCAAGGCCAAAAGCGGCTGTTGTTGATTGAGTTTCTTGTGTTAAGTGAAGGCCTCACCACGATTAAAGTAGAAAAATCAAACTATGCAAGATGAAAGAACAGAAGAGACGAGGGACCAACAAGACATAAACAAGATTTCATATAGGGTTGTAAGGGCCGCAATGGTTGTAGAAATGTGCTTTACAATTGACAAGTTTAGGTGTCTTATCTATTGTAGAGGCCAGTGGGATTAAAACACTAGTGCTAAAGATACAGAGAAGATTAGCCTCAAACAAAATGTTAAGATTGCCCCCCGAAAAGACAGAATATTACGGACTAATCTTCTGATCGCTAATGATTGTGAAAATTATAAAATTCGGCTTTCTGTGACACAGAAAATGTATGATTGTTATTTTTATCTCCTATATTTGGCTGCAAAACGTTTTGTCATCTAAAACAGTATGTTTTGTTGGCCCCAAGGACAAAATGCCAAAACGGTTTCAGTGCGTTCTGACCGAGCAAGCATCAGCGACAGTATCCGCCAAGGATCTATATCTGCAAGCAACATGATACCTTACGTTCGCTACAGAGTTATTGGTCAAAATGTGCGACGTACTGAATTTTTGTCGGTGGAAATGTAACTAAAAAACGTGAATTTGAGCTCTCGGTGAAGCTCGATTTTAGAAACATATGTCCGAATATCCTGTGTGAAACACATGAGGCTGGTTTGTGTTTTCTACTTTGGGATCATTACAAATCGAATGTCATGATAGCTTTACTCTTCACAAGCTTTTCATCACTGTAATCATCAGTCAGAAATATGAAAATGCTTGGATTCTAGTCACTGCTTATGATTTGGCTGAATTTTCGTGTCAGCCTACTAATTAGAGTCAGAACAATATTTTTCGACTACATTGAAGACACAAAGTGACACAAGCGGTACAGCAGAAAAAGTAATACTCAAGGCCGATAAGAAATAGTCTGATTTGCGTCTCCAAAGGGCTATTCTATCAGCGTACACCCACGACTTGATTTCAATCTTGCTTTGGATTCATCAAGCTTCATTGAAGTGCATAAGGGAACGAGCAGAAGACTGACGGGGAAATTTTGCGTGGCCATTACCGAGAAAACAAGAAGAAAACGTGACTGCCAACGTACGAGTCAGAAATTAAAGCATTAGGTGCTCGCAAGTTCAGTGGTTATTACTATGTACGATATCAGCGTGATGGTAAAGTGAAAGGAAAAGGTGCGTCGAGCACAAGGGATGCTAACCGCGTTAGCTACCTGGCACTTGATGAGATCTTGGTACCGTAGAGTCAACTCGTAAATTAATCCTCTGTGTAGTTGCTAACGAGTAGTATATCAGCAAGAGGATTTATGTGCAACATGCCACAGCACTTCGCTGCTGCTGGTGACGAGTGGTTCTTGAGAAGTCTACACCCTTGGACAGGATGGAACATGACGCACTACCATATCATGCCAAGTGTCGACAAGACATGGCTAGTAAGCTAGTGTCTTATGTTGGATTTGCCCAATTGACGACACAATGGCCACAGCTTGCTTGAACGCGATCAACAGCAACGAAGATACGGTAGCTGGAGATAATCATAAAAATCTCAATGTAGAAGAAATCAACTGCTACGCAAAATATCCAAGCGGCTTAATTTCTATCATGCGCTTAGACTTTTCAGACGAAAGTTCACGCATCTAAAACCCCTTAGTATCAGGTGGCTATGGAGAGCGCATACGCGTCGCATTATCCATTTTCATGTTGCGAAGTGTCATGCAGAAAAGGACACATACCTGGAGTTCTTTGTTAAGCCATGCGTTGTTAATCTAAGAATTCCTCGAGCAATAGATATGTGTTTGAACCGCTTAATCAAATTTACCACGTGTTATCTAAGCTACTTTCCACCCATCAAAACACTGGACTCCAGCAAAGACACGATGACTTACACTATTCCAAAATCGATAAACTTCCAGGGTCTCCATAAAAGTGCAGAACATTGGGACCTTACATGTACGCCAAACGTTTGAATGAGCGGTGAACATCGCATAAAATGTGAAATACAACTTCCGAGGGTCGGGTGGGTTGGGGTGCGATAGGTCGAGGCTTGTAATGGCGCGCCAAAGGCGACGAACAAAGGGCTAATTTTCTGCGTAGAGCCGATCGACTGGCCCCTTTTGGAGAAACGTTGAGCTTCAGCACAAGGAAATGATGATTCTCAGCATACCTGACGAACATCGTACCGCGTGGAGATTGAGGATGATGAGACTCATTTTTGATGCTCGACATTTTCTAGATAAGTTTGGCATACATCCGGTGCTTATTGGTCGTAGGGATCACCATATCGGTCGATGCAGCGTCATAAAAGTATTAATATATTCGGGGGGGGTGCATGCAACATGTAGCTGTTGAAGAGATTACGAAATTCACTTATGCATTAAGATTGCCAAGTGCGGATGCTGTATCTGTACGCTTCATGGCATAAACATGTCTATTTTTTAAAAGCTTTAGGTGAAGCTGAATACCTTAGAGACGAGAAACGCTGCTATGCTTAGACTTAAATTTGCCGTATGACGCCATTCGTAGCTAAAACGCCACATGTTGTCGATCGAATCGAATTCAAAGACGATAAATACAACGTACATGTGAAGCTTTAGTGAGTTGTGAACCCACCACAATTAGAAAGCAGAAGCGCTTTTTAGGCGGGCGCGAGCTGCGACGAAATTTATGCAGGACATGGAATTAATAACAATAGTATTGCAAAGAAGTTCAAACAATGCTTGGATTTGCGTTTGTATCCCTGCTGCCGTTTTAAACAAAAAATGTAATCATACCTTCACCATACAAACAATCAGAACTGGGCAGGGAAAGCTGCACTTAAACGGAAGCGAGACCAAAGAAAACCCCAGCAGAAAGTTGCTCATGCAGATCTTGACATTCAAAAATGCACACTTTGTTGGCGTTGAGGTCGTTGTACATTGTCAAGAATAAGACTTTGGAGGGATACTTGGTTTGGATACATCTTCGGAAACAGTGATGAGATAGAAATGCAGCCTTGAACCACTAACTGAACAAAGAACTGCTTTAGTAATATGAAGAAAGACGCGAAAGGGCCAAGAATAATGGTAATTGGCAAGCAAAATATAAAATGATGTAGGAGTTTGAAACCAATTTGGAGAATGCACAGGATACTTTGGGAGAATAACTCGACCAGAATGACATGGGGAAGCGGTGACCAGCAAACTGAAGGACAAATGGCCGGGGATGACAGGACTACAACCACACCAGTCGATTGAAAGACAGCAAGCAGGACTTTGAAGCATTTGAAAAAAGCTTGGACTTTATGCAAACTAATGTGCATGAACAAGTTAAGTGAAAATAAACTGAGAGTCGGTCTTACAATGCGTCGAAGCAACTGATGAAATCGTAGTAAGAAACCAATAGATGCATTATTATCGGCCATGGAAGCTAAGTTACATCTGCTTTACTTGTCAAGCGGGAAATACTACGTTTGCATGGCCTCATTCGCGAGCAAATGTCTACGAAAATGGCCGTGCCGCCAAGAGGCTAAGGACAGAATTTGAACCAATTAAGGTCTAACGTAACAGACTGAAATTCCATTGGCTAGTTTACCTAAATATTTCAATAATCGTAAAAGTAATTTCAAATTTCTATTTTCATTCTCTTGACATGAGGACAAGTTAAATCATTACTAGACTTTAGATTCAATGATTGAATTGTCGATTGTGGTTCCTTAGATGTCGATTATTGAGCTCACAACAAGAACTTTCAGTAGTTTAAACAGTAAAACTTTCTTTATTAACTAGCAAAATCTGAAGGAAAATTCGAAAAAGAGCTAAAAATTCCTTCATTGCATCTAATCGCTTCAAAGAGCAAGCATTGCCATGATGAGACCAAATACCATCGACGAAGCAGTGAATACAAAAGAAGCGGAAGCATCAGAAGTGCCAGTAGTTGATCCAGAACCAGTGCCTCCTTTACGATTCAAATTCGGAGTTGTCGTCTCGTCATCAGGTAGTGTCGTAAACGCCTTCGAAAGTTTTGGAAACTCAAAGCCACTTCCTCCAGTGGAACATGTTTCATTGGCACTGCATTCAGTACAAAGTTGAGAGTATCCCACACGTTTACATCCATTACCTGATCCACAAGACTCGACAGTTTGATAGCATGGTGGATTGCTTGAAGCAAGTTCTTCTGGCGTAGGTAGCGCATGAAAGGCAGCAATGACTGAACTTTCAATCTGTGTCGAACCCGATGATAGTGTTTTAATGTACGTTGCAATCACCGCCTCAGCACGAGCAGCATTGGCCGTCGAGTTTAAAGGATCTTCCCAAAATGGCAATCCCGTAACCATCTCACCAGATTGAGCATCACCAGAAAATTCGGTATTGTTCGAATCAGCTAAACACCATTCCGTGAAATTCGAGTATGTTGAATTTGTTTCCGGATTTTCAATTGCAGTAATACCAACAACATCATCAATCGTCACCCATCCCAAGATATTGTACGCAAAGGTACATTCAACACCATCAGGTCCTTTTCCGTAATCACACAATCCCTTGCGTGTACTACTGCGACATTTGTCAGTCTTATCGCCCCAGCTTTCTAGTGGACAGGTACCAGGGAAAGAGAACCAATAATTATCGGGATATGGTGCTCGCACATCATCATCTTTGATCCCACCACCAATAAACGGACCAACATTAGGTTGTCCATCATCACCATTGAATTGAAGACATCCAGCTGGAAAATCATCTTTTCCAGAAAGTGGAGAACAACGACCACTATCCATTGGAAGCATTGGTCCATATTCTGGTGTTTCTCCCCATGTATCTTGAAATTGAGCAATTGTTTCATTTGTTTGTACAATGAGAATCTCATAAAAGACAATATAAGCCATTTCCGACTTTCGTACACAACGTTCTTCTTCAGCACGAACATTCACATTAATGCCTTCAGCTTGAACATACATCAATGCACCTTCAACTGAAGCAGTATTGACTGTATCCATAGCACTGAGATATCCTGCTTCCAAATCTCCATCACCAAAACTAGAGACAAAGACTCCATCAACAAGCATCGGTGCATCACTTTGTACTCGTGCATGAATCACACGTACAGGTGGCATATGATACGAGTCTTGAGGGTATGTTTTCGTCTCAAGATTCACAAATGCATCAGTACTTGAATTTCCCATTGTCATATTTCCAGAAATCATAGAACTTTGCGTGGTCTCAGTTGAATTCAATGTTGTTCCATTTGGTGTTGAAAAACTATCAGACGTTGGTGATGTTGTCGTTTGTTCAATTGCATTTGGTTCCGAAGTATTCGAAGTCCCCGTTTCCAAACTTCCTGAAGTTGTTTGACCAGAAACACTTGATCCAATGGCAGCACCTAATAGACAGAAAACACGAATCTTCATTCTTCAAACTTTAAGGTACTGAAGACACCACTTGACTCAGTTTGAGTGAAAAGAAAAATGAATTCGGAGAAGCCGACGAACACACGCCTCACGTGGCTCAGGTGGAAAAAAACGTCCAGTCTTTTCCTCTCTTTTTCCCTCTCTCTCCCTCAATGTGCAACCCGACGCTTTTCTTTGCGGTACGACCATTCTTTTTGTTCTTTTTCTAAGAGAATTGGGTCGTCTATTTCTAACATATAGAGCAAAGGTGAGGTTTCTCAAGTGCGACATAGTAAGAAATTACAAGCAACTTCGGGACGAAAATTACTTACAAAAGGTAAAGACAGTTTGACGCTTGAACTTTACTTACCCTCTCGACGAACTTTTAGGGTTACTCAGGTTTCTTCGGCTGTCCTTGTCCTCGTTTTTTCTCATGTCTTAGAAACGTTGAGGTTGTATACTATTCTGTACGATCGTAAGGGAGAGCAGATGTCCTACACATGTACTGACCACCTATTCACTACTGTAGAATAAATTCATTCTTATTGTTAAAATGACTTTCAGTAATCACAAAGGGAAAATGAAGTTTATTGAGCTCAAATCAATGAGAAATGGACCCACAGATGGCGATATAAAGGCAGCCACTTCTACTGTATTTCAGCCTCGAGACAATAATTTCTTACAACCATCTTCAAGAGCGTCCTAACTTGATATTTCCTGATCTAAAAGTTAATTAAAAATTAGAAAAAAACCAAAGTTTCACCATGTGGTCTCATTTCGTCAAACGGTACAGGATTTTAATTAACCGGAATTTTTTGGATCTGTTTCTAGATCTGAGCTCAAGTGTATACAAGCAACGATGATTTGAATCCCGTTCTGATTCAGCAATCATCATCATCGTATTACTCAAGTGCCTGATTGTATACAAAACGAAGGTCCCAATTATCTGTGACCAAAACTTGTGGCTTGCGCACTACAAGACGGTCGCAATTAGCATCGTAGTGAAAGTGAAGAGCACGCTCCCCACCCACCAAGATCTGAGTCGGCAAATTGGCTTCAGATAGAAATCCGTAAATTTCAATACGCTCTACCCACATGAGTGACGTGTACCGCTTTCCCTGTATAGTAGCAGCAACTGCGATTGAACGTAACCCTTCTTTCGTCTGGTGCAACTCAACTTTTGTACCATAACCTTCAAGTTCAGCAGCTAACGAATGTTCATCATCAACATAAAGTTGACCAAATGCTTCAAACTTGTGATTCAACGCTACAACAAGTGTAAGTGGATCGTTGCGCATAAGTTCCGAGCTACGACGTACTCGTTGTTTGCGCGGTATAATTGTACCACCTCGATGGAACACAGGTATAGCATCTAAAGGTGCTGGAATGTTTTCATAAGTTGCACCACCAATAAACCGTTTGTACCCATGAGTAACGTGATACCAGACAGTCGTACCCTGTGTCGTGTCAGACGGTAGAAATACGTGCGTCGTTCTCACGTTTTCTTCTACAATTGGTTTCACTAGCAAAGCATCACCAAGTAGAAATTCATCTTCTTCACTGAAATTTTGAGGTTCTTGTGTAAAGTGAATCCATAGTGGACGCATAATTGGCATACCATGTGTATGACAAGTATGAAAGAGAGTATATAGATATGGTAACAAAGCATAACGTTCACGAATCGCAGTACGAACAATTGAAGTGGTTGGATCTCCAAACACCCATGGCTCACGACGAGGTGAATCATGATGAGCATGTCCTCGAAAGAATGGATGGTATACAGCTGCTTGATTCCATCGAATGAATAATTCCGATGATGGATTTCCAAAGAATCCTCCAACATCTGCACCTACAAATGTTAAACCAACAACCGACATGGATAATAACATTTTTGTAGCATAACGTAAGTGTCCCCACTCTGCTTTATTATCACCTGTCCAAATGGCACCATATCGTTGAGAACCAGCTGAAAATGCACGTGATAATACAAATGGACGTTGCATCTCAGATGTCAATTGTAATGTATCATCAAATGGTAAAAGAGATTCATGAGGTGGTTGCTGTCGAACGAGTTGTCCTTCCATTGTCGCACGTTGAAAGAGAGTACCATAAAGATTGTGCCATTCCCGATGTTCGACATCATTGATACTTCGACATCCTTTTCGCATTGAAACTTCTGGACCATTAAATACTGATGGTTCATTCATATCATTCCAAGTGTACAGATGTTTTGTACTTCCTTGATATTTTTCATACCGAAATTGATCTCGCCACCATGCACGCGCTTTTGAAGATGTGAAATCAACATATGATGATTCCCCTGGCCAACACCAACCTTTAAAATCTTTTCCTTCTTCATCTTTAATAAACAATCCAAGTTCTTGTGCTTCTGTATGAATATAATACGGCATCGCATCGTTTGATTGACTTACTTTAATATGTGGATCAATAATTGTCACCATTTTTCGACCAGTACGTGCAATTGCTTCTTGCATAGTAATTGGAGATGGAAAAGCATGGTGATCCCATGTAAAATAACGTTTTCCATCAGTATGTTCAATATCAAGCCATAAAACATCGTAAGGAATCAAATGTTCATCAAAACCAGCATCCACACGTGCAACATCAACTTCATTTTTATAATTCCAACGACATTGATGATATCCTAAAGCAAAAAGTGGTGGCAATTGAGCACGACCAGTTAAAAGTGTATATTGTGCAAAGAGATCAGCACTATTTGGTCCAGAAAGTAGAAAAAGATCTAAAACACCTGATTCACTCATCCAATGACTCACTTTACTATTTGTAGCTTCATTTGACCAAATATCAACAAATGTTTCACTTGGATTATTCCAAAATAACCCAACGGTATTCTCTTTGTTAGGTGCCACAAGTACTGGGATAGCACCATATAATGCCATCGGATTATCCAATTCATACTCAAATACATCAAGGTTGTATAACCGGTATGGATCGGTAATGATCTCACGCTTGTCTTCATTTTCTTCATCTATTTCAATAGTATCTTTTAACACAAAATCAGTAGCATGCTCCGGGATACCATATAACGAACGTGGGGCTACAATTGATCCATGAAACGTGACATCAAAACCAAGTGAACTTGGACCAAATTTCTTCTTGTCCGTGTGTCCATCAAACGATTCTTCCCAACCCTCAACATTCCCATCAGTCTCAATTGAAGTTGTCAATGTATCGGTTTGTTCCTCTTTCTTTTGCACACTTCCATCATCGTAAATAGCAAGTCCATCTTCACCATAGTCAACAATTTTCTTGCCCTCATGAGCATCCACAGCTCCTTGATCGACGGCACCTTCAGCTTGAGTGGCAGCATCCACACGATCCTTTCGAATTTCATAATGAAAGAGATTCTCGTTGTTGCTCGATATTAATTTCTCACCATTTAAGTATAGATCAACACCAAATGAATCGAGTTTCAAAGCGGCCACAATCTTTGTCGCTCCCTGCATCTCAGGAGCGAATAACACAACGTTTTCTTCATTAATTGGTGTCTTAAGACCCGCATCTTGAGCTTTTACTTGAAGTAAAGGACGCGTTTCATCCGCTGTTGGGACAAGAATATCGTCGCTAATCCAACGAGTTTTCGGATCATTTGGATCTTCAAACTTTTCTTCCAATCGCACACGCACCACTGGAACAACCGCTTTATCGGCATGCAAGACAAATGCAAGCGAACCAGAGAGCGGAATATCCTCAGGAGACGCCGCGTCTTGTACTAGAAAACGCACGAGATTGGCGTCACCGTCGGTGTGAACACTATCACGAGCCACGTGGAACTTGTGTGGCATGTTCTGCCGTTGTACATTACGATACTTATTGCAAAAGTGCGTTTGCTCGCACGTGCGGAACTTATTGCGATCGACAGCTTCACTGTTGACTGCCAAACTAGCGGCCAGCAACACAAGAAAGCGCCGACTGAGCATGTTACTTTGTCGTTGATAGATCTCCACGTGGGATATGTAGGGTGGTCGGATGGATGAGATGAAAAGTAGAGATACTAAGTAAGTTTATGGAGTGGGAATAAATGCAAAAAAAAAGAAAATGGAGATTGCTGTGGCATCCAGCTCGCCACTAGGACAATACTTGGCTGGTAGGATGATTACAATACAAGCATAATATATTGGGAGAAGAATCAATTATTACTGTTGTATGTTTTCAGAGCTAGAGGAAGATGGGGACGAGTCCATGGCACATTTACTGTCAGCGCATCATCCTTCACATGCGCGAAAGAAGTCAACACGTCGAGCTGGATATGCAGCTAATTATTGGCGCTGGTTACAATTAGTACAGAGTTTGCACCATCGTATTGAAATGATAGCATTACAGCAATTACTTCCTGATCTTTGTGCGTTCCACTCGACATTACGGTAAGCAGAGTTTTGATATAACTGATACAATAGACTAAGAACTAACGCATTTATTGCTAGCGAGGAGCTTCAAGAGACAATTAGTGATGCTGCAATGTATGAAGCATTATCAAACGTTCCAAACAATTATTGGAGACGTCATGTAACAATAATTGAAATACTCAGTGGTATTAAAATCCTTCCGATCAATAATTGGCAAATTATTGGAGTATTGGTAGCTGGACTTGGAATTTCGATTATTTATCTCGATATAAATCATGGTACATTATTGCAATTACTCAAGTGGATTCTACTGCCTATTGTAATATTACTATGTGGAGTATTATCCAGTATACACATCCTTCTAACTTTGTACGCACGATGTTCAAAACGACTTCTGTACTCACTAAATAAATTACAAACAACATTGCAATCTTTCAATCAAATTTCTTCTGATTGTCTAACAACAATCAAGCGAGCAGAACTCACAAGTCAAGGCTTTCAACTTGGAATTGGAACATTTTTGCCACCTCTTGCCAGATTCGAAGCCATTGCAGATGAGAAGAAAAGAATTAGAAAAACTCAATTACATTGTGTACATTTACGAAAGAAGTTACGAGTAGTGAATGAAAACATTTTGAGTCAAGCATTGAATTTACTCAATGAGAACACCAAAACAATTGAAAGGAATCGTCAAGATGAAATTAATGATCGAGTGCCGTCTTTACTATTGACGACGTTAATAAAACAACGGAATCGAAGTCTATTGGTTTTGGAAAATGCTGTGCTTACAATTCTCAAACGAACTTTAACGTTCACATATCTTCCCGATCATTGTAATCTATTTAGTGATTTGAGCTCGTTACAGCAATCACTAGAGCAGATATCAACGAATTTAAGTGGATGGACTTCTGATCTTAACGTATGGAATACAACGAAAGATCCAGTGACATTATTTACTTCGGAAATGACTTTGGAATCTTCAAAAGAACAAACGTTTCATCATCAACAGATTCTAGCAAATCTTACAGATCCAAAGCTAAAATGCGTCGCTATGCAACTTCAAAGTATTCGTTCAATGAGTGAGACACTCACTGCATTGTCAATTGCAGCACAGTACGAGCTTTTATCGAGCAATTTCGATATGAAAAGTTTCGGAAAATCTCGAGATTTAATGCAATCGTTGATTCTACAACTACAAGAAGAATGGAGGAAGTTTGATAATGAAGTGAATGTTCAAAAATGTAATGAAAAGACACAAGATATCGTTCAGCATAACGAAACACTTTATAACACAGAAATGATTTCAGAAGCAGCTTCTTTGTCAACTTTACCTTCTCAAGATCCAAATTGTACAATTGTCTTTACTGGAACGAGTACTGGAGATGACAACTTTGATTTAAAATCATTATCGAAGCAGCAAAGAACAGAAATGACAGCAATTCCTACATTTCATTTCATTCATGAGCTTCAAAATGTGCTAGCACACCGTGTTGCCCACGCTCAACCAGGTTTAATGAAACAAGTAGATCAGGACACTTCGTCTTCTTTATCTCGACAAGATTCGAGTCTAGTGAATATTTCAGTGCCGTTACCTCCTGTCAAAGGTGAATTTGTATTGCCTGCGTTACCATTAAACAGAAGGAAACGTCCGACTTTCACTACCACGTCTTTCAATGATGAATCATTGGCGAATGTCTCGCAAGTCTTACAACATGATAATCAACATTCGAGTGCTTTTACTAATGCATTTCAACTTGAGCTTCAAGCTTTGCTACAACGAAATCAAGCATCTAATGATACTTAACAACAGAAAAATTATCTGACAGTGAGTTTCATCGTTACTGTAACTACTCGTAGATATAGAGACACAATCAGCTGCGTAATCAGTTGATTTGTTTGTTACTTTTGGGCCTAAAGCTGGCGAGACTCAAATGCGATCATGCGTTCATGCCAATTGGCATCAGCTTAAAGCAAAGCACAGACAATTGCCATAGACGACGTGGAATGGCTGTCTGGATTCGGAAGAGACAGACAGGAAGCAAGTATGAGTCTTTCTTTCAAGACCTTAAATGTCCGCCTCTTTTCCATCCCAATACTAATTAATCAAGGAAGTTGGTGAGGGTTGTGCCATGTCAGCATAGCTTGCACTGTATTTGTCAAGAAGTTGGCCGATACAAACCATTTTCTCAAGTCTCAAATCTTCCGGGACACAGATACTGGCCACACGATGTACTTGCAGGCACTGTTTTCAAAAAAAGCAACCAAGAAGAGATTTTTTTGCTGGTGTCAATGACACACTTGTCTATCTAGACGAAGGGCTTATTTAAGCGCATACACTTGAGCACTGCTGCTCGCGAGTGCCCAATTTGCTTTGCACATATATCGTCAAATCAGGTTTGTGTATCGCCACAATGTGGCCTGAACAGCTGGATTACCAGACTTTTAAACGAAGCTGGTGCATTAGACAGTTCCTGCGGAAGAACTAGCCACTTACAGGATATCATCACGGTGAATGGGATATCGCTATCTGTCACCAGCAGCTAGTTATCATTATCACCAATCTGGTCAAGACTGCCAAACAAAGCGCAGTCGATCTTGCTGTTCTGCATCACATCCTTTTAAAAATTGGAATTTGCGCCGGAATTGTGTCTGCGTTTAGCTTGTTAAAAGCATGTACAAATGACCACTTGCCGATGGCCTTTTGGACGCATTAAGGTGGTGTAGAGTTTATTCTCACCCAACGGCAGGAATGCATATTAATTAGGTTTTACTACTCAATTAGGAAAGCCTAAGATTTTCCATCGATGAAAATTCACGTTCTGGTGGTGGCTATCTTCATGAATCATTATTGCTGGCTCGACAAGCTAGTGTTTGTCATTTACGGACGGAGATACTACTTGGGCAAATTGCGGCCTCTCTACCAGACAAACTTGGCAAGTTCTACACTAGTACTAGATATCTCCAAGCTTGGGGACCGAGCGTGAAAATGGGCACTGACGTGCGGCACTTCGGTTGATGCGGCGTTCACCTTCTAGAGGGAGCTAAAGAGTCAGCTTTTGAGAGTGTTTTCGCCGCCTAACCAGGCATATCGCGTGCGATCGCGTTTTCATGCCGCCCCACAGGGCAAGGAGGAGTGAGTGAGCTTTGTACGATAGTGAAGAGCTCTCATTTCCGGCCGGTATGGCAGCCGATCCTCTCCCTGCGGTGGTCGCAGTGGCCGTCTTTATGGATGGCCTCCGCACTGGCGTGGACAGAATGAAAGTCTTTCGTAGGCATAACTCTTTTTTGAAGAAGCGGTATATGGGGCATTAAATGCCTAATTTAACTTTAACTCGGCACGACTTGATTGGAATGCACACCCTCAGATATCGTCGAGCGAGCCTGAGTTAATGGGTATCAGCTATGCTTGGAAAGAGACTGGAGAGCTTCGAGATGCCGAGCAGCGTTTAAACCCCCGACGGTGTTCTGTCTGTGGAGACACTCATCACCCTCGGACTAGTTGTCTCCTGCGCAAGGCGCGTAAAGGATCATCGAGTCGACGTCCCGCTTCTAACCAGTTTGGTTTGTCGCGGGAAAACGAGGGCACATGTAGGCGCGGGGCGCCCAACTGGGGGAGATCTGAGTTCTGTTGAGCCTCAAAGAGGTAGAGTGCAGCAGAGCCCAGCCCCGAAGAGCTCCTTGCTCTTGAACACCGAATGTTTATGCAAGCTGGGATTACTGGTTGTAAAAGCGACCGTGAAGGGCTTTGGAAAGCCATGAAAGATCCTGATCGATTCCAGGGCATCAGGCAATTATGCTCGGCGCTCCACGATTGAATGAAGTAAGCTGTATGCTGAGGCGCTGAAAGCGCGGTTCAGTTACACTGTCACTGTTTGCTTAGCGACGAGGACTTCTCTGTGGACCTCGGTGTCAAGTTTGTTGACTACGATAGCGTGGAACGCTGCTGAGTCTTAGACTTGGATGCACGGTATGACCTATCCATGGTATGGCATGGTTGGCACATCATGAGCCATGGTTTGATTAGAGGTCGAAGATCTTGGGCGCTACGCGCACGTCTCCTGGTGGAGCTTTCGTGAGTCATGAACCCACCTCCGCTAGGTGGGCACTGGACCGGACGGTCAATGTGCTGGATATCGGAGTATTCGAGTTGTCGAACACCGAAGGTGTATCGAACGAGAGTCCCAAGCAAAGCTCGCGGGCTGAACGTGGAGTGGCATACTGAGCACTGCTCAAGCAACAAAGCAGTCGCTGCATGCCATGCGTGGCATGGTCGGCTAAGAGCCAAGATATCGAGGGCAAGGCCCTTCAAATTCACGTGGAGTGGCACGTAATCCACTGAGTACTGCTCATGTTTCGAACCAGTTGCTGCATGCCAGAAGTGGCATGGTCGGACGAGGACCGAGGAGGCCCTTCTGATGCCTGTGGAGGGGCACGTAATCCACTGGCCGAAGACTGCAGAATAAGCAGCTCTTCGTCTCATGTTGTTGATAACATCAAGGCTCCGATGGAGCAGTGAATAGGGACGTGTTCCCACTGGTCTCGATGAGACGTAAAACTCGATAGGAAGGAGACGGCGTAGCCGTATGATATCTGCAAGACGCACGGCGTCGACCCTGAACCAGGGTGTGTCTACCGTAGACATTAGCGCACGGCTATATAATCTTGTCAACGGCATGACGGAAGAGAAAGGCGGCGACGTCACCCTCGAGGCTATTCCCGCGGTGGATGAACTTCTTGAGCTGGACGAGATGTCCTTCGAAGAGATTGGCGGTGCCTTGAAGGCAGGCAATTTAGCCGAAGTGGTCATTGAACGACCGGACGAGGAGATAAAGCCGTCATCGCTTCTGGATGAAGCTGTCTTGGAGGACACCATGAGAGTGCTGAACGAACGAAGTGGATCGTCGATCCTACGGAATCCCTTGGATCCGTACAATCCTTTGGTAAAAGAATTTCAAGACGTCGTCTCCAAAGATCCGCCTTCGGTCCTACCTCCGGACCGAGGTGTGCGTCAAGAGATCGACCTGGTTCCGGGAACCAGATACTGCGTAACACGCCAATGGCCTCTGCCCAAGGAGCAGTGCGACGTCATTGACGTCTTTTTCCGTGCAAAGCACGACGCAGGGATGGTACGTGCGAGCAAGTCTCCCCATTCGACACCCACGCTCTGTGTTCGGAAGCCGAACGACAAGCGGCGTATCGTCGGATGCTTACAACAAGCTCAATGCTGCCACCATTTCGG